TCCCCGGCTGCCTCTGCGGGGGCCGGGGAGGAGCGAGAGGAGGCGTCCAGCGCTGCCGGCTGGGGGCGGCGGGGCGCAGAGCGGCGGGGGGACGCGGGCTGGCGTTGCGCGACGTGTACGGGAACCAGCTCCAGCACGAAACAGTTTAACGGGCCAGCCTCCAGCAGAACTGCTTTCTGCAGCTGTGAGTCAAACGGCTGTTCAGCTGGAAGTTTCATGAGGCAAAGCAAAGTTAACAGGTAACTCGTGACAGCGTCTAGAAGGGATTGTCCTGCTGCTTGAATTGATGTGCTTAACTTAAGTAGAGAGCTAAAGTCGGAGTCAAGGACCTGGTGTAACTGCGATCCAGAGTTCTTCTCGGGGCTCGCTGGCTTCAGTACACCAAGGAGGCTTGCCTGAATCGCAAACTGTCACGTTTATAATGATCTTGAATGTGGATTAGATTGCGTGGTTCCTCCTAAGCTGTTTGCCTCGTTCTTAGATTGGCTGATCTAGATACGTCATTGACCCTTTTGTGGCTTCTATATATACTTAATCTAAAGACTGCATTTAGCAGTAGTAAAGCAGAAATTATTTTAACAATATTTTTCCCCAAAGTTCAGAAATTCAAAGAAATTCAAAGATGTGCTTTTTTTTTAATTAAAAAAGAGCTATAATATATGCAATGTTGAACTGGCACCTAAAGTTAACATGCAATACTTGAACTTATTAAGTGATTTGTATAGTAAAGAGTATGATACTAATAAAAATGCCAGGTGGACAAAAGTTATTTAAAATAACAGTGTTCATATCTCGTCTGTAGGATTAGAATCAATCTGTGTTTTGAGGATATTGACTGCTTATTTTTCAGTCAGTGAAATAAGCAAAAGTAAGAAGAGGGAGATTTTGCTTGTTAATAACCTTGCAGCTGTTGAGGCCGACAACTCTGTTAAAAGTATAACGAAGACTACCAAATCACATGAGGACCAAAATCTTTGTATCAGGTGTATTTTGAGGACCTCGCGTTTTCCTGAAGTGCTTATAATCAGATGCAGACTTCAAGGCTAGAAAGACTTCTATACATAAAGAATCAGTATCTATTCATTATTTTAGTACTAGTGAGATTTAGAAAATCTAGAGTAGACATCAGCTTATTTTTAGTTGCTAAGCATCTTAGCAAACAGATTGGTTATGATGTGGCTTTGCCATCCATGAGATGTTGGAGTTGGAAAGGAGGAAGGTAGAGGAGAAAAGATTAAGTAGCAAAGAAGTGAGAAAGATACAACAGGAAATACAGTGAATGAGCATTAGGACATTTCTGGATATCCTGTGACTCTGCAGCCAAGCCCATAAAATGGTAATTTAGTGAATAATTTTAATTAGTTACAGAAAAGAAGCTCCTATACCAGAAGTCTCCGATAAAGTTTAACCTCTACTTTGCAGTGAGCAGCTGAATTGGAGCCAGTCTCACAGAGATCTGATGATGATGATCCAAGAAATGAAAAGGTGTTTGCCTGAAGAGAAAAGGAGTTCCAGCAAGCCCAGTACCATCAGTGCTCTCAACTATGCCTTGCAGTGTGTCCAACAGATCCAGGGTATGTGTGGAAAAAATCTGGAATCATAGAAGCTATACAGCAGCTTGGTTTGAATAGGCATGTCTGGCAACAAATAACATTAAAACAAATGAAAGCATTCCAGTTATCCTACAAACAATTGACTTTCTGAAGCACTGTGGTTTGGGTTTTTTTTTTAAATAATTATGTTATCTTTTCTATTGAAATGTCCACCTACTGCTTCTCTTTCCTTCAGAATCCTATAGCTGATAGGTGCCCTCTAATAATTTTCTGTGTACATTGAAAAAACAGCATTCCTGTCCCACTTTGAAAAACTATTGGATAGTCTGTGTTTTCCAACAGAAATAAGTAGATAAAATGGTTCTTTTGCCATCATATTCTGTCCTTTCTACTTCCTCATGCTCGTTTTCTGTAACATAAATAGGTCACTCCAATAGCATAATCAGTATTCCTTTTTCTTTTGTCACTACACAGACCTTCCTCACCTCACCTTGGACTTCACCAAAAAGATGACAAAAGTACGAGGGCTGTAAGAAATACTTTCAAAATAGTCTCCTTACTGACTTCCTTGTGTTTGTTTTGCTTTTCCTGTTTTTTTTTTCCTTCCAATTAGCAAACAATGACTTTTTCCAGGCTCTGAATGACCGAAGAGTGTTTCAGACAGATGTGATGACATACAGCATAGAAGAGTTGGTGGCAGTTGCATCTGAACACACTCCAAAAAACACTGTAAGGAATTCAGGCACGCTCAAGAAGTTTGTCACTTGCCATTTCACTCTCTATTTATACTCCTTATGTTGTTCTGTGGTAACAGAATGCGTAAAATTGAAAAGCCTTTACGTTTTAGCCAGACAGGCCTTTGTATTTTTAAAGGTAGATCAAGACTACTTCTTATCTGTGCTGACGCAGGGTACTCAACAGCAATCAGTGAAGAAATACATATTTTTGGTTTTTTTGCCAGAAGCAACAAATATCTCTTTGAGAGTCTTATTTGAGAATTCATTTGCAGCCTAGTAATCTCTTGAGACAGACTTAGCACAATGTTTTCAAAGCTGATCGAGTCCATAGTTGTGACGGACTTTGGTTTCTATTTGTACTCCTGGTTTTATTTTTTTTCTTGGTTTGCAGTATAAGTCATGCTTTCTGTCTCTGCTTCAAAGGAAAGAATATTTCTTGAGAATATCAGAAAT